CTCAGCGTTCATACGGAGAGACGGACAGACAGACGGACGTGGCTCAATCGTCTTTGCTATTCATCCTGATCAAGAATATATATTCTTTATGGGGTCAGAAACGCTTACTTCTACCTGTTACATACTTTTCAACGAATCTAATATACCCTTTTACTCTACGAGTAACGGGTAAAACTGCTAAACATATATACGAGGTGTGTTCAAAAAGTAAGGTGACTTTGTATTTTCAAGAAAAACTATTAATTTATTTATCAATATTTATGTTGTCCCCTTCAAAGTAATCCCCCTCAGATACAATACACTTATGCCAACGGTTTTTCCAATCCTCAAAGCACTTCCCATAAGCACTTTTCGGTATAGCCTTGAGCTCTTGCAGCGATGCAGTCTTTATCTCTTCAATCGTTGCAAATCTCCGTCCTTTCATAGGTCTCTTCAGTTTTGGGAACAAGAAAAAGTCACATGGGGCCAAATCCGGTGAATATGGTGGCTGAGGCATTATTGTGGTGTTGTTTTTGGCCAAAAAATCTCTCACAAGCAAAGATGAGTGAGCAGGGGCATTATCGTGATGCAAAAGCCATGAATTGTTTTTCCACAATTCTGGACGTTTCTTTCGTATTGCTTCTCGCAAACGGCGCATAACTTCCAGATAATACTGTTTATTGACCGTACGACCATATGGTAAGAACTCCTGATGCACCACGCCATGGTAATCGAAGAAAACAGTGATCAAAACTTTGACATTTGATCGAACTTGGCGTGCTTTTTTCGGTCTTGGCTCGCCTGGGCTCTTCCATTGGGACGATTGGGCTTTGGTTTCGATATCATAACCATATACCCATGATTCGTCACCAGTTATGACCCTTTTGAGTAAATCTGGGTCGTCGTTGACGTCATTCAACAGCTCTTGAGCGATGCTCATGCGACGGTTCTTTTGGTCAAAATTCAGCAATTTCGGAACAAACTTCGCTGACACAAGACTCATACCCAAAACGTTTGAAAAAATTTCATGGCACGAGCCAAGCGATATACCGACATCTTCAGCAACTTCTCTGATAGTGATTCGACGATTTTCCAAAACAATTTTCGTCACTGCTTGAACGTTTTCATCAGTTGTTGACGTGCTTGGGCGTCCAGAGCGAGGCTGGTCATTGGCATCTTCCCGGCCATCTTGGAAGAGTTTGTACCACTTGTACACATTTTTTTTACTCAGAACAGTTTCACCGTATGCCACTGTCAACATTTCAAGTGTTTCAGAGCACTTAATTTTATTTTTTACACAAAATTTGATGCAAATCCTTTGATCCATATTTTTCGATAGCAAAAAATCGCCGAGCTCGCAAAATAACTTGTAACTTTACGCCTCTCACAACCAAACAAAAGAGGATGTTCCATTGAAACTTGGTACAGATGTTAGGGAAGAGTGTACCAATATAACAAAACAAAAAAATCGATAATCGAAAATATGTTGCCCGCGAAATTTGAAAAGTCACCTTACTTTTTGAACACACCTCGTATGTCGCAGATTTAATCACAAATATTTTGTTTTTATTTTAGATAAATATTTAGTTAGTTAAACCCCAAAATTATTTCACGGTTCACAACAAACCATTTCAGAAATGATTAAGACAACCTACCTAAACCATACCTAATAAAACATCACCCCTCCTTTGGACAATACTTCCGAGAAGTGTTGCGGCCGCCTGCAGCGGCTTTTCTCACCTGATCTATCTCTTGGATTGACTAATATTTTAAATATACTTGTTTGTTGTTATCAATGAACCAAAAAAATTGTAAATTCTTAGAATGTCTTGCTTTATTACCACTTGTTGGTAACCATTAAAGAATAAAATCATTTATTCATATTTTTCCTCGCAATTTACAATATGATAAAAAGACTTGTCCTTTGCATGGTAATATGTACTTTTGAAAACAGTCTCGAATCAGTTTGAAGTTATGTGTAATCTTATTCACAAGAGCTCCTAAACAAGAAACACAACTAGTAACCTCGGCTTAATTTCGTGATACAACTAATAACATTAAATACTCTTCCAAAGCTGCCAAAAAAGATTCACTGGCATTATTAACCAGAGGAACTACTTTTTCTAAAATATCCGCTACTGCACATATGAATTTTGCAGCTGTGGCAGAATGACATTTTATGTTGAGATAAGGTTCTATTGTCATAGAATGCCTAACTAGTAATTGCGGCCGCACTTTAGCTAGCAAATGAAGTGTGGTAATGCAACAACATTGCATTCATTGATTGATTTTTTTGTATGTGAATAGTAGGTAGCTGCTTCCGTGAATATAGCCAAGCGCTTCTTAGGGTGTTTCTCGGATCACCCTAGTGCCTTTATGTGCAGACCAAGCATAAGTCGCCTTTAGGGGCCGTGCCTGGTTCCCGGCATGGTGAGTTATGCATCTTCTGCTAGTGTCAGCATTTTTGTATAACATGCGGCCGGCTTGCCGACCACGTACAGTTTTTAAGTTCAGTTTGATTTTGATATGAATAAAGAGCGCATAGCTCTATTAAAACAACTCCAGCGAAAGCTGTATAATTATTGAATTGGTTATCGAGCCCTAAGGGCCGTTAATAACGGAGAGAAGTTCTCCCACCATATTTCTGCAATATTCCGGAACATTGAGCCCGCCAATAAAGGAGGCCAGCGGAACACCCGGAGAAGATTTCTCCAGCCCACGTCATCAGGCAGCCACGCCATCGCCCATCTTCACGGACTGCGGCGAGGGGCGGCACACTCACACCAAAAAGATAATTTATTTATTCTTGATCAGGATCAATAGCGAAAACGATTGAGCCATGTCTGGCTGTTTGTCCGTCAGTCCGTATGAACGCTGAGATCTCTGGAACTATAAGAGATACAAAGTTCAGATTAAGCATGAAGATTCTTGAGGTCCCTAACGCCCACAAATCGCTAAAAACTAAAATTGCATAAATCTCAGGAATTATTAATAGCTAGAAAATTGAAATTAAGTATGCACAATCTTAAGATGCCAGCGCATTATCCGGCCACACCCACCCATACGCCCACCAAGCTCAAAAGACGGTTTTCGCATTTTCTAGAAAAGCTGATATCTCGGTAACTATAAGTTCGGATTAAGCTTGTAGGTTCTTATGATGCCCCCAATGGGAAGCCTTTAAGACAACTCTGCTCCAACTGCTTAAAGTCATGGAATCGCGATTCGTTCACACAGATCCGCAAGTCCCAATTGAGATACACGGATTCGCTGACGCTTCCATGCGAGCATCTATGTTCGCACTCAAACTGCTGAAGGTTTAAAAGTGTCATTACTGACAACCAAATCAAAAGTAGCTCCCCTCAAGACCAAAACTTTGCCTCGCCTTGAGCTCTGTGTGCAGCTCACCTTTAAGCAGATCTTCTTAATCGTGTACGGCCATTAATTAGTAGCCCAATAAGTACAGTTGTCCTATGGACCGACTCCGAGATTACTTTGCATTGGATTAAATCCCATCCCTCGTCGTTGTCCGTTTTCGAACCTAGTAGCGGAAATCCAAGAGTGGTCGGAGAAAGCACTTTGGCGACACACGTCCCTACGAAAGTAAACCCAGCGGATATAGTTTCTCGAGGATGTGACGTTGAAGAGCTCGTCACGTCCATCTAATTCGCTGGACCATCGTTTTTACGCCTGTAAACTCTCACTTCGAACTAGCTTCAAAAGAAGTGTCTATGGAGTTACGCAAGTCGGCGTTAACTCTGATCGCTACAACAGAGCCTAATGGTCTGCTTCAGAAAATAGAATCCTTTTCGTCGCACTTGAAGCTTCTGAGAGTTTTCGTGTGGGTTTTTCGATTCATTCGAAAGTGTGAGAAACGCCTTCCGAACAAAGTATTACGCCAAGAGAACTGAATTTTGCGTTCCAAGATATTGTAGAAGTTTTCCAATCTCACGAATTCAGTGACAACATGGGCAAAATTCGGAAACAGAGACCGCAAAAAAACTATTTGGTAAATCGATAGATATTTAATAGAAATGTTATACAAGGTCAACAAAGAACATACATTATAATATTATGGACGCCACATTTTTCTGCAGTTTTTGTTCATTGTAGGCGTGGCCGAATAATAAATCACTTCAAGCTGCGGTAGCATTACGTAATTTTTACGTTTTTTTTTGGCATTAGAGAAGGCGTGGCCAAATGGTAACAAATTAATACACATCAACCGTACGGTTACCGATATATCAGCGTTCTCAGCGAATGCGGCGACCGTTTCTCGCTATTGAGGGGCGTAAAAGTGAGCGAAGCCAGATTATGGTATAAATAATAAGAATAATGCGCATTGGGGGTACATAAAAACTACATGCTTAATCCTAACATTCTATCACTTATTATTACCGAGATACCAGCCCTTCTACAAAAAGCGAAAACCGTTTTTCGAGCTTGCTGGGTGTGGCCGGATTATGGTATCACACTGAGATGCGCTGGCATCTCAAGAGCATACATGTTTTGTCCCACTTTTTAGCTCTCATAGTTCCTGAGCCCTAAGCGATTTTAGTTTATGGTTTCTGAGATCTCAAATATTTTAGTTTTTTTTTATTTGTATGCGTTAAAGTATGTGTGGCACGGTGCTGAAACTGATCCCAACTACGAATCTCTTATAGTTCCTGAAATCGCAGCGCTCATACGGAGGGAAAGGCGGACATGGCTTAATCGACTAAGATATTGATAATGATCAAGAATAAATTTATATACCTCAACGGTCGGGAACCCTTTCTTCTACTTTTCATACTTTTCAACCAAAACAATATAAACTTTTACTCTACGAGTTAGTGTATAACAATAAATTTCAATTTTGTATACAATTTGATTTCCAAAAGAGAAAGGAGTCTTAGACTAGCCACGTATGTTTAGAAAATACATAGTACATCTATACTGTCCTGAAGAAGAAAAAACAGGTCAGGTTTAGAATTCAATAGGACTTTTGTGGTTATCCAAAAATTACTATTATAATAAATACTTACTGTGGTCACCAGTTCCAAGCACACAAATTGTAGAGTGTCTATGTTGTCAACAAAAAATGGTTCAATTGCCATCGTCGACAACGGTAAAATGATGGTATCAACGAAGATACATTTATCAAAAAGTGTTACAAAAACCTTTAATAACTCTACAGTTTTTGAGTAGAATAGCTGAAGACTTCTATTGTGAGCTTTATGTGACTTTATTTTTTTCCGATTGCTTTTTTTCATACTTTTCACAGTGTAAACCGGATCATGGAGAGGAAAAATTGTTTCTCGTAATTGAAATTGTGCAAATTTTAAAATGTGCGTTACATTATCCTCTTGCAAAAACTTAAGATCGCTTACTGTTGAGTAAATGTTACATATAAGCAAGCAAGCATCCATTGCATTAAGTATTTTCTCAATTACTTCATCGTCTACAATTTCCTCTTGTTCCTCCTGAAAAAATGAAAAATAAATTAATTATTATAATAAAGCACTAAAGATTGGATTACATTATATATGTATATATTTTTAAAAATTAAGATTTTTAGATTTTCAAAGCTTACTTTCTCTTTCAATCGCGTATTAATAAAAATAAGGGTTCCTAAGGAATATACTCCATTTAATTTAACTTTTCATTTAAATAAAATTGCAGTTTCATGCAACATTTTAAATATGCATATACTCCATTTAATTTAACTTTTCATTTAAATAAAATTGCAGTTTCATGCAACATTTTAAATATGCATAATTTCACGAAAGATATAAATTTCTTCTCTTGTGCTTCTTTATTGAGCAAATTTGCTGAATTCTTATCGTAAATATCACAGCCTGTTTATGACTTATTCTTATACCCGTTACTAGTAGAGTGAAAGAGAATATTAGATTCGTTATAGTGTATGTATCAGATAGAAGCGTTTCCGACTCTATAAAATAAATATATTCTTGATCAATATCAATAGCGAAGTCGATTAAGCCCGTTCGTCTGTCAATCAGTCCGTCCGTCTGTCTGTCCATCCCTTCGTATGAACGCTGAGATCTCAGGAACTATAAGAGATAAAGAGTGGAGATTAAGCAGGCAGATTCTTGAGGTCCATACGGAATGCAAATTTATTTCAGCATCTTGCCACGTTTTGTCTTCGTTTGATTTTGTATAACATATTTTTGTCAATATTTATCGATTTACTGAAGATTTTTCAAATCGGAACATTGTTTCGCTATTTATGAAGAAATTTAAGTTATAAGGCCTCACATGGGCATTGACGTCACTATAAGTTACTTAACATGCTTTCTCCGACAATAGGTGGCGCTTTGGGTGTAAAACAGTAGCAGTAGTTGCGGCACTCGACTACTATAGCGTTTTTTCTTGTTTTTAATTCGATAGCCCTCGCCATGTGAGACGTCTATTTGAGCGTGGTTAAAGTTCAAGGTTATTGGAGCCCACGTCTGTCTGTTCAGAGAGAACTTCGTAAATTTTAACACGCCTTTCGACTAACACTAGGTCATCAGCTAGTTGCTCTGTTGCTCGATTCGGGTATTTTGAGCGGCATAGAATGGCGGTGTTGTCAGCGAATGTGAATGTTGCTAGGGCCCAGAGCATTACCTTGAGAAACTCCAGTTTCTATGCTTAATTGTACTATGGCCTTTGCGAAAGCCGAATTGATGTGCCGGTATATGTTTTGGGCTATGCCAATAATTTGATCATGTTGGGGTTTTTGATCAGAACACGATGCCTTCTTAGGTTTTTATTGATCCTCGATAACTTTAGAAACCTCGGCGAGCCTGAAGATTTTTGGGTTGCATTCTTTGTTTGCGGTAAAACGAAAGAATTAGTTAGAGGGTTGAGCTGAAAAACGGTTCGCTGGTGCAGCGCAAATTTTTTTATCGCCCTTCTTGGCTTCAGGCCCAATTGCCTGCAGAATTTCTAATTGGAGTGATTGTTTCGCTCGGGGGCTTAGACTTGGATGGGCTTGCCCATCCTGGCCGGAGCTGGCCGGTGATTGCTTTTCTTTGTACTCTCATTGTGCTTTTTCAACATCTTGCTTTAGGACCTCGGAGAGCTTGCGTGACAGCTTGTTTCTTTCAGCAGGCATCTCTTCTCCAGAACGAGCTGTTCGATCAGAAGCTTACTTGGGTACGGATTTAACTATTCAGTCCTCTTTGGGGATGAAATGTTTCCTGCTGCGACAAGAACTGATTACAGAGCGTTGGTAGAGCTGTCGATGTCCTCCTCGATCTTAAGCTATGGTTCTAAGTCAGGAGTGACTTGACATATTTTCTTATTTTTAACCAGTTGGTTTTGTGCGATGTCAACCTATGGGAGTGGTTGATGATTTCGGGGCTATGGAGAAGTGTAACAAATACAGGAGAGGGGTCAGATGAAAAGTCGGAAGCGATCTGGCGGTTACTCGATTGTGTGGATTGTTTTTGGTCACACCAAAGTCGATTGTGTCTGGTAGATTTGTAAGGTCTGCGGGAGAGCAGGTTGGACTATCCGAAGATAAATAATGCAGTTTGTTTACGACATTTATTATTTCATTGTGTAACTGTCTACCTTTATGAGTCTCGAGACTCGATCCCCAGAGCCCTTGTTTCGCGTTGTAGTCTCCATCTGCGAGAAAGTTGAAGTAGCCTATGAGTTAGGCCTCCGCGATTGTAAACCGAGGCTGATATTAAACTGATACAATAGTTGTTGTCGCTGTATAAATGTAGGTTTATCGATATGACTTGTAGGTAGCTTGATTTAAGACTAGGAAAAAATGACGATTGATGCGGTTTTTATTAAACACCAATTCTTACTGTACGCTTTGCCGTCCGAATGGTCTGTTCTTATACGAAAGTTGTATTTAGTTGTTAGATGTTTCTCTGCCAGCAGAAATAAGCGTTCCACATTGTTATTCAAGCGTCCGGCATCGATTTATTTTGATTAATAGGACGCTAGCATCTGTAATAGGATGTTTTGATATTGCATTAGATTTTGCATTGTGTTTATTTAAACGACATGAATTCCATCATGCTTTTTTGCAGAGTCATCATGGCTTTGATGTTGTTTTTGGCCATTTTGGCCATCTTGGCGTATATTTCTGGCGGGTTCAAGATCTTTTTGATTTCGCTTTATTACGTGCTTGCTAGAGGGCGAGATTTTAAAATATTCATTTTGCAAGCGGAAATTGACAAAAAAGGATGTTTCCTAACTGATGGTGACGTCACTGCCCATGTGAGGTCTTATAACCTACACTTCCTAATAAATCGCGAAATATTGTTGCGTATTTAAAAATATTTGTTAAATCGAAAAATAACTGTAAATGTTATTCAAGATCAAATAAAAGCATAAATTTATATATTAGGGAGGACACCGTTTTCCGCGGTCTATGGCCGTTAGAGTCGACGAGGCCGGATGAAAAAGAAATACCATACATACATTTTTCTAAAACCGTCTCTCGGGCTTAGCAGGCCTAAGGATGGGTTTGCCCGGATAATGGTACTACTTAAAGATGAGCTACTGCAAGTAGAAACAGCTATTCATATTTATACAATGATAGGCTTTAAGACATGTTTTTGGCCAATGTAACATATTCGTAAAAATTGTCTTAATTTTAAAAAATTTTCAAAATGAATTTTATACTACTAGCAAGTCTATATTTTTAATTGGTTATATTTAGTAGTAGTTAAATAAATCAAAATGTTAAAATTAACATTTTAGTAAAAATATTTACCGGTCCAGCAAAATAATTCCTTGCTAAGTAAACGCTGCGCATTGCGTAGTTTATAAGAAGAGTTAATTTGTTTTTTGGTATGGCGTCTAAAGCATGCTTAGCTTTTAACTTGGCGGCATCAGTGCTCATTGCATTTAAAAGTTTTGGTGAAATGCACTCAATATTTTCGTCAACATCTTCTGCAATATATAGATATAATACAAAAATATGAATAATAAAATGGTGCAGATTTTAAAAAAAGAGAAATGGGATGTTTTCGAGTCATGAACACCAGCAGTAAATTTCTAAGAGACCATTTAGCAATGAAGTTCTTTTTCCATCTCCATGTTTATAGTTCAGTATGTGCAGATTTTCCAACGCATTTTGTGGGAATTTATGGTAATTTCTGACGAAAAAACAAAGGGCAAGCAAACAACGCAATGTACAACGAAACATTGAAACGATTGATCTCTAATATCCTGTTATTTTCTCGCCCTTAGGCTTCGGCCACGCATTGAGCGATGAGCGACTGAGCGACTGAGCGACGCTCTCTCGAGCGACGTAAAATATTAAAGCTTATGAGAGAGCATTGGAGTGGCCACGTAGGCGCTGAGCGACGAGCGAAGTTCTTGAGCGTCAGAGCGACGTCGCTCAGCGCTAGAATTGGTTTTAATTTTTAGTGAATCGCTCAGCGACAAAATGCAAACAATGCAAAAAATATGCCCGGAAAGTTTAATTTCGGCTGTTCAAAGCCGAACCGTTTTATGGAACGACATTCATAAAGAGTACAAAAATAGAAATACTACTGATAAGGAATGGAATGAAGTAGGAGTTATTTGTAACTGTACAGGTAAGCTTTTATTTAACGTTATGTATAATATACAATAACAACGTAAGTAAAGTTATATTTAATATGTGTATATGAATATATATATTTATTTAAAGTGTCATTATTTAATCAAATGACTTAATATCAGTCGCTCAGTGCGTGGCCACCTCACTCAAAGCGATCGCTCATTAACGTCGCTCGAGAGAGCGTCGCTCAGTCGCTCAGTCGCTCATCGCTCAATGCGTGGCCGAAGCCTTAGGCTTATCGAGCTGCCCTGCTACTTTGTATCCGACTTACCGAGAAATATCAATCAATAAAAACAGCATGATAATTTTAAAACCTTGTAAACACTTGTTTTTATATTATGACATATTTTTTTCTTATAGTTCGGATTAACCAGTTTTCAGTCTAATTTCAGTGGAATTTACAAATTTTTGAAACGTGCGGTCGTTAAAGGAGACAATACCAATGCGGGAATCTATGGACTTTACTTTTTAATCACAAAGGTCAAACAACCAAAACGGCGTAAAACACAATAAACTGTTGGGCAGCGCCTTGAAAAACTGTCAGTCCAAGGAAGCCGATACGTAACTTCGTTCATCGTGGGGGTCGACACATCTCACAAGCATATATACCAATACTGTGAATATAATTTTTGGTCGCAGGGAGTTGTATGTTTCGGAACAACCTAGCTAATATCAATCAATAAAAACAGCAAAGTAATTTTACAACCACATTCTTATTTAAATTATAGATTATTTTCCTAAAGTTTGCTTTTAGGAGTCTTTTAGTTGATAGCACGCCATCTATTTACCTTTTCTGTGGACTGTACAATTTTTTGTACATCACAAAGGTCAAACGAACAACACGACGTAAAACACAATAAACTGTTAGGCAGCTGGTCCAAAAGCTATCAGTCACAGGAAGCCAATGCCTAATTTCTCAAGTATTCCAAAACTACTTCTTTTCAGAGTAGTTTTCAATGTTTCAACGTTCATATACAGCCTCTAGTTGGGGCGAGACTACACATCTCACAATATATCTACCGACCCCTTGAATATAACTTTCAGTCGCAGGAAGCTGTTATTTCGGAACAACCTACCTAATATCAATCAATAAAAACAGCAAGATAATTTTACAACCACATTCTTTTTTTCTTTTGAGACAATGCCAACAAACAAAAACTGCGCCCTAAGACCATTTTTTATAGTTGCCGTGATCTTCACTGTCATATGAACGGACGAACATAGATTTATTGGTATAGAAACTCGTCCTTTTACCTGCTAAATACTTTTTAACGAACGAAATTAAATTTAAATTGTATTTTTATTTATGTTGACTAGAAAAGTTTTTGACACATGAATAAGAAAAAAAAATTCTAAGACACAATTGAAAAGAAGCCGATGCTTAACTTCTCAAGTATTCCAAAACTACTTCTTTTCAGATACCAAAGATTCGCTGGGATGGCTACGATTCACAGTATCTAGTTTAGTTCATCTCACAAGCATAACCGCCGGAATAACCTAACTAATATCAACCAAAACAAGAAGAAACGCTATAGTCGAGTGCCGCGACTATAAGATACCCGATACAATTTTAAAATATTCATTTTGCTAGTAAAAATCCACAAATTGTCAGAGAAAACATGTTGAGTAACTGATAGTGACGTCACTGCCTTTGTTAGGATTTATTACCTAAATTTCTTCATAAATAGCGAAATAATGTTCCGATTTGAAAAATCTTTGGTAAATCGATAGATATTGACAAAAATATGTTGTACAAGCTCAAACGAAGACATACACTATAATATTATGGACACGACAGTTTTCTGTGGTATGTGGGCGTGGCCGTATGAAAAATATTGGGGCAAGTTGCAGTGGCATCTCTTAAATACTTATCTTAATCACAACTTTTTCTTATAACTCCCGAGATTTTTTCGTTTTGTGGGCGTAAAGTCTAACAGTGGGTGTGGTTTGATAAAAAAAAACAATTCGTTTTGGGGTCATCATAAAAACCTACATGCTTAATCCGAATTTTCTATCACTTATAGTCACTTATAGTTATCACTTATAGTTACAAAATGCAAAAACCGTCTTTCGAGCTTGGTGGGAGTACGAGTGGGTGTGGTATAGTATGTATAATGGGATCTTCATAAGATGCGCTGGCATCTCAAGATTATACATACTGAATTGCAACTTTCTAGCTCTAATAGTTCCACTGAAACAAGAAACGTAGGAATCTCAATAGTCTTCATGCTTAATCTTAACGTTCTATCTCCTATAGTTCGTAAGATCTCAGCGTTCATACGGACAGACGGACATGGCTTAATCGACTTCGCCTGATCAGAATATATATACTTTATAGGGTCGGAAGCGCTTCCTTCTACCGGTTATATACTTTTTAAAGAATCAAATATACCCTTTTATTCTACGAGTAACGGGTATAAATCTTCGCTGGGATGGAAACGTTACAACGTTTCAAAGTTCATCCACATATTCTAATTGGGCTCGCCCCTACACATCTTACAAGCATATCCACCGATACGGTGGATATAACTTTTGGTCGCAGGGAGTTTATATGTTTCGGGAAAACCTAGCTAATATCAACCAATAAAAACAGGTTAATAATTTTATAACCAAATTATAGATATTTTCCTAACGTTTGCTTTTTTGCCGTTTTTTATGGACTTTACTGTCCAATAACAAAGGTCAAACAAGCAACACAACGTAAATTTCAATAAACTGGTAGGCAGCGGCTTGAAAAGTTTTTATTCACAGGAAGCCGATGCTTACATTCTCAAGCTAGGATGGCTACGATTCACAGCATCTAGTTGGGTCGAGACTAAACATCTCAAGCATATCCGCCGGAACAACCTAACTAATATCTATCAAAAACAAGAAGAAACGCTATAGTCGAGTGGCGCGATAATAATTTTACAACCACATTCTTTTTTTAATTAAAGTTTGCTTTTATGAGTTATTTAGTTGATAGCACACATCTATTCACCTTTTCCGTGGACTCTACAAATGTTTGCAACTTGCTGTCGTTCAAGGACACAATGCCAATCACAAAGGTCAAACGAACAACACGACGTAAAACACAATAAACAGTTAGGCAGCGGGTTCAAAAGCTGCCAGTCACAGGAAGTCTATGCTTAACTTCTCGTGTATTCTAAAACTACTTCTTTTCAGATACAAAAGATTCGAACGTTTCAACGTTCTTCTGCAGCGTTTAGTTGCTGCGATACTGCAACTCTCACAAGCATACATGAACATGTACGGTGTCGGCACAACCAGTTAGTAAATGCTTTTTTAACAAAAGGTAGCGCTTTGTCCATTTCCACTAGCAAAATGAACATTTAAAAATTGTGTAAAACAATAACGTGTATTTTATTAGTCGCCATACTTTTCATACGTTATAATTCGCTTTTATCAGTTTTTTAGCCGATATGATAAATAGAAAATATCAATTGACTTTTTAGTAGATTGTACAGATATTTTCAACTTTCTGTGGTTGAAGGAGACTATGCCAACAAACAAAAACTGCGCCCTAAGGAAATTTTTATAGTTGGCGTGATCTTCACTGTCATATGAAAAGACGAACATAGAACGATATTAAATTTAAATTGTATTTATATTTATGTTGACTAGAAAAGTTTTTGACACATGAACAAGAAAAAAATTCTAAGACACGGTTTTACAGTGAAATACTTTTCCCATCTCTCTATTTTCAGTTATAACAGTACCAAGCTCAAGGTGTTCAAAGCCATTTTGCGGGAATTTATGGACTTTACTGTCCAATCACAAAGGTCAAGCAAACAACACGACGAAAAACACAATAACTTCTATGCTATTCCTATGCTTAACTTCTAAAGTATTCTAAAACAACTCTTTTCGGTCCAACGTTTCAAAGTTCATCCACAGCCTCCAGTTGGGGCGAGACGACACATCTCACAAGCATATCCTCCGATACTGTAAATATAACTTCTGGTCACAGGGAGTTGTATCAGTTAGGAAACATGCTTTTTTAACAAAAGGTAGCTCTGTGTCCATTTCCATTAGCAAATTGAATATTTAAAAATTGTGTTAAACAATAACGGGTATCTAGTCTTGGCACTTGACTACAGCGTTTTTTCGTATTTATACTATTTATATTTAGATATACTTTTCATATGTTATAATTCGTTTTTATCAATTTTTTATCCGACATGATAAATTGAAAATATCAATTAACTTTTTAATTATACTATAAAGATATTTGCAACTTGCGGTCGTTGAAAAAGACAATGCCAATAAAAATAAAAACTGATCTGGCGTTCCTAAGACAATTTTGTATAGTTTCCGTGATCTTCTCTGTCATATGAACAGAGGG